CAGGGCTGTGGGGTCTCAGGACAGACAGATGTAAAACAACTCCACCTGCTGCAGCTTCACCTCTTGCCAGGGCTCCAGGAATGGCAGGGTGGAACTTTTCCCCGTGAGGGAGCTGATGTTTGGGGAGCTCTCTAAAAGCCTGTAATCTGCCATGAAATTTATGAATATAAAAAGGGACCGTGGCAGATGGGCATTATTAACAAATGAGTTCGTGCCAGCGAAGCGTGAAAGGAAAGTAAAAATGTAGCGAATTACATTGTTTCTCCATAAGAAAATAAGATTTTGAGTTAGTCTTGCATACTGCTGTGCACTGTGGGTGCAGGTAGCAAGCAAGGCCTCCTTTATTCTGCTAGAACTGCTCTTGAAATTACATCAGCATGAAAGACAGAGCCAAAATACTGCACAGAGGAGTAGCTGGACTGTAAGGAACATATCGGGGGTCTAACACGAGGAAGTGAAGATGTTTGGAGTTCTGTCAGTAGCTCTGCAATGAGCACCCAGGTTTGTTTCTGCACAGGACTTTGAGAGCTGTTTTTAGCCAGGATCAGAAGTTACCAGCTCCTCCTTTATTAATATATATAGGCTTAATGGGTCACTGGATTGAATTATTCATCCTCAGGGCAGGGGAAGAAGAGTAATTAGGAAAAATCTTCTATTTGTGACTGTGCACCGTGCATTGTTTTGTGTTTGTACGTCCCCACCCACCCTCCTGTCCTGACAATGGTGATTTTCAGAATTTGTAGCTCAGTGAATAGTAAGTTGTGAGGATGGGGATGTGGGTGAACACATTCCTTTTCCCCCACCACCCACCTGCAGGGAATGCAGTTTTTCCTACTAATTGATGGATGCATGGACAAATTACTTGTTTCTAGAAACAGCAAATATTTTTAAGGAAAATTTCCAAGGAGTGTGTTTAGAAGAGGAAAAACACCACCTTTGTAGCTGGTTTTCACTTCTCTATTAGAACTGTGGAAGTAATTTTAAGGAGGTGTTGCACAAGGTAGACATGGAAGTTTTGATGTAGCAACACGTGCAGCTTTGGATGCAGCACTTGGTTTCTGGAGGCTGTGCCATGAAGCTGACTTTTAGGAACTCAGCAGACTCCAAATGTAGTTTCATACTGTTGCCATGTTTTTGTGACTGGGCCCTGAGTCTTTTAGGCCTGTTAGGCTTTAATCTGGTTTTACAGTCTTCATTGTGTAGCCCTCCTTGCAGTAATTTTTCCCCCCTACCCTGGAGTGGTGAGCTTTTAAAGTTAAAGTGAAATGAGGATAAGGCTGATTTGGTTAAATTCTCTGTTTAAAATCAGCACATGGAGTTCAACAGCTCAATTCCAAGTTCTGAGCTTCAAGCACATGGTGAGGTCAGGCATGAGGCACTCCATAAGCCTGTCTTGGATCAAAAGGGAGAGAAAATGACCTGATCCCAGTAGGTTTGCCAGGAGAAAGACAATAGATAAATGGAAAATAAGTAGTAAATGCTTCTAGGGATATTTGGGGGAAATAAGAGTTTTCTGGTTAGGAGATAACACATTTCTGCTGTCTTAAGCTCTAAGTGTTAATGAGACAAAGATCTTTAGCTGATAATGTTCATCAGACTGTTACAAAGCCAGCCAGAACCTTAAATTGTCGTGAAAGATGGAGAACTGGGCAAAAGAAAACAGAAACTGAATCCTGAAGGAACAACTCGGACTTCATGATTTCTTTTATCCTTTTTTAAAGTCATAGTTTTCTTGATGTGCATTTCTAGAAGAACTTAGAAGAACTCTTGGGCCTAAACTTTTCTTGACTTTTGATTGTTATTTTGGTGCTTTGCTGGGAGGCTCAACCCCTTGAGCTCCTGCCCAGGTGCAGGTTCATGGATGTGAAGCGTGGTCCTCCCCTTCTCTGGCCAGAAGTGTTTCCTGTATAATGCTTAAAGCCCTTCTAGACCTTTTGGGAAAATAGGGTTCACTGTTTTGTGCAGACATTGTCAGCAGCCTCCTGGAGAAGGAGCTCAGGCTTACTGGAGCCAGTCTCACATGCCATTTCAGGCTGCAGTGGAGCCCAGACAGCAGTGAAGACAGCTTTTAGGAATTCAGGCCACAATGACACTGGAGACTTCATCCTATAGTTTTTGCTGCTAAAGGTGGAAGATTTCATTTGTCTTAACTGCAACTAAGAATTGTGTTTTTTAAAAATGTCTAAGATTCCACTCACAGTAAAAGAGGAAAAAGAGAAAAAGAAGAGAGTTTGTATATGCATCTATGCCTCTACCCACAGGTTCTCTGAGGAGCTGAACTCCAGCACTTGCACTTGATAGTCATTTAAAAGAAAAATCTAACCTGATTGGATTGCAATTATCTGCACTCTGTCTTGGTGGGAAAGGGAATGTATGTGTGGAATAAAACAGAAATAGTGGTAACACTCTACAGAAGGAGATCATGGAGTTGAAACTACCCGAGCTGCATGTGACACTCCAAAGCTCCCCTCCCCTCCACAGGGTCCAGGTGCAATCTGCCCTTCTGGCTTTGAGCAGCTGGTAGTTTGTACCAGTCATTTCTGAGAGGATAATTCCAGGCTGTGTTGGTTTTGCATGGCCTGGTTCTTGGTAGCTGGGGGGCCACAGAGGTGGCTTCTGTGAGAAGCTGCTGGAAGCTTCCACCATGTCCAGCAGATCCAGTCCCTGATGGCTCTGAGGATGGACATGCCACTGGCCAAGGGTGGGCCAGCTGGAGATGTTGGTAATGCCTCTGTGATAACAGATTTAAGAAGAAAATCAGAACAAAGGGGGCCCACTGTTAGTTCCAGGCAGAGAAGAGGACGAAGTGAGAATATGTGAGGGAAACAACGTGGAGACACCAAGGTCAGCAGAGAAAGAGGGGCAGGAGGTGCTCCAGGCACCAGAGCTGAGATTCCTCTGCAGCCGTGGTGAGACCACAGTGAAGCAGCTGTGCCCCTACAGCCCCTGGGGATCCATGGGGGATGCAGAGATCCCCCCCACAGCCCCTGGGGATCCATGGGGGATGCAGAGATCCATCCACAGCCCCTGGGGATCCATGGGGGATGCAGAGATCCCCCCACAGCCCCTGGGGATCCATGGGGGATGCAGAGATCCATCCACAGCCCCTGGGGATCCATGGGGATGCAGAGATCCATCCACAGCCCCTGGGGATCCATGGGGGATGCAGAGATCCATCCACAGCCCCTGGGGATCCATGGGGGATGCAGAGATCCATCCACAGCCCCTGGGGATCCATGGGGGATGCAGAGATCCCTGCACAGCCCCTGGTGGAGATGCCCAGACTGGAGTGGGTGGATGCCTGGAGGAGGCTGTGATCCAGTGAAGACCCAGTGGAGAGAGGGCCCTGCTTCCAGGCTGGAGCAGCCTGTCCTTGGAGGGCTGCACCCCATGGAAGAGTGACCCACACTGCAGCAGTTCTGGGAGGACTGCTGCTCATGAGATTGGAACTACACTGGAGAAGTTCCCAGGGAGCTGTCTCCTGTGGGAGGCACCCCACAGTCTCACAGGGGGAGAGGGAAGGCTCCTCTCTCTGAGCAGTGGCAGAAGACCCCATGCTCAGATAGGTAAACCAGAGTAAATCCAAGTGGGAGAAGTGGCCATGTGCTGCTAAGAACATCTGCCAGGAAGTGGTAGGTCAGGTTCCAGATCTGCAGTTTCCCAGACCCAGAGGAGTGCCCTAACAGCTGGAAAACAGTTTCTCAGTTCACTTTATCAACACTTTCATTCATTATGTGTCAGTGAAAGAGCCTTGGGGGTGCTTATGGCACAGACAAAGTCAGTGGTGCCTGGGCTCATTTCTGAGCTCTCTGAACATGTGCTACAGACTGAAGAGTTAGGATACAGGGAAGCTTGGGTCTGCCCTTATTATTTCTTCTGATTTATTCATATAAAAATGGCTGTTTAATTACAGTTTTCAGCATTCTGAGAGGTGAAAAATCCTGGTTTAGCATTAAAATATATGAATTGAAAATGGCAGTGAAGGGAGTGATAAACCTTTATATAATCAGGATGAGCATGAGGAAAAGGAGAAATCCCACCTAATTTTAGTAAAATGGGGGAATGTGAATGTTGGGAGTTACTAAAGATGCTTTAGAGTCTATGAATGGAAAATTGAAATTTCCCTTTCATGTGGCAGAATATCTGTAACTAGTATTGCATTCCAAATAAAAGTCAGAGGATTAAAATTGATAAAAATATATTAATGTATTCCTGTTTTATCACCAACTTGAATAAAATTTCAGGTTATATAGGTGTGTTGGTTTTGGCTGGAGAAGAGTTAATTTTCTTCCAGGCACTAGCTGGCATGAATGTGTTTTGGATTTGTGCTGAACACAGGGCTGCTAATTAGAAATGTTTTTGTTATTGCTGAACAGAATTTTCACAGAGCCAAAGCCTTCCCTGCCCCTTATATTGCCACGCTGGGGAGAGTGCTGGGAGTGCACGGGGAGTTGGAAGGGGAAACACCCAGGGCAGGTGACCCCAAATGACCCAAGGGATATTCCAGACCTTATGGCATCATGCTCAGCATATAAAGCTGGATGGAAGAAGGAGGAAGACAGGGATGTGTGGAGTGATGCTGTTTGTCTTCCCAAGTCACTGTTCCAGGTTGTCTTCCACTGCTCCACATTGTTCCACGTTATTTTATTCTTGTCCAGATTTAAGGCAAGCATAGAGTGTGTAGTGACTTGTTTTTGTTTTGTGTGTTTATGTGTTTATGTTTTTGTGTGTTTATGGCCTCAGCAGTCTCCAGTTTACTGTAATTAGTCTACCAATTACATAGGACTGGTGTGTAACATGGGCTGTGCTTCTCTCCTTTCTTTCTGTAAAATTTGGCACCAGCTTCAACTCTCTGTTATAACAGATTTGTTGACACAAGTGATTTTTACAGAATAGTTCAAAAGAGGAATACATTACCAAAACAAACTTTAAGGTTCTTAGAAGAGTGGTTCATATGATGCCCAAAGAATAGGCTGGAAATAAATCCCCACAGACTGGTGTCAGAAGAGAAGGTATTTGTTTATTGCAGAGCTGGTGGTGAGGGGGATATCTCCTCCAAACTCACCCACCTTTGTCAAGTGCTGTGTTATATCTATACAGTAAATATTTCTTAGTATCACTATGGCACTACAACATCATCACATACACACTGTAACTAATTTAAAGAGTATCATCTCATGGTTATTAGATAATTATTTTGCACTGTGCTTGCACCTCCCCAATTTGGGGATCATTATGGGTCTTTGATGAAGGTTTCCAAGGTCTTCCCATCTCAACTTTTCAACTTTGTCTTCAGAGCATGCAAAGTTGTCATATTCCTTGGTCTGTCTGGTCTTAACTGGTCTAAATTCTTTGGTTTGTGGCTAATTTGCTTTACATTTTCCAATTTCTCATTAGTACTATACTTACTTAGCTCTAAAGCTATCCACTCGGTGAGTTTTTTTCTTCTTTTTTGTCTATTCAGCAGTAAGCAACTAGTTAACCATATACTAGCTATTACATTGTATAAAAAGTTATTTATATCAGGTTATATAGGTATAAAAAGCTATGATTCAGATTACATAGGTACCAGGTTATTTGCATATATTAAAATATCATGTGTTAGGTTATATTGATATAAGGTTATATAGATATATCCAGTTATACTGGTACCTTGAAACTTAAGCTATATAAGCACTTGGTAACTTCAATCTAAGTTGTATAGGCATCACATATTTTCCTAGAACTCAGGATCAGGATTTACAGCTCTGGCAGATTTTCTGCCCTTCAAAATTTTTATACTCACATTTTCAATAGCAGAATGAATGCTGTGTCTTCTTAATTCTGCAACCTGCTGTAAAACCTGGTGTTCATTCTTCTCCAGGGAGAAGTAGGGAGGTGGCAGCATGAAGCACCAAACAGCCCCATTCTACAGCTTTTTGGCTGGGCACTGCAGCAGAAATGTAGCAGGAATGCCCTTCTGCTCCCCACTTTTCATGTGACTATTGAGCTCCTGCTTCACACACAGCCTTTGGAAAAGAATGTGATCCACCCAGCAGGGCTGGCTCTGCAGCCAGTGCCCTGATATGGGGTGTGTGGGGTCATTCCTTCTCTTCCCGTGGTGTTCAGTGACTGATTCCTCCTGGCCTCCTTTACTGATCTGTGGGCTCTCCAGCTGTGAGGAGAAATTTCTCCCTGAGCACCCTTCCTAACAGAAATAGAAAGCTTTTCCAAGTCCCTCTTGCTTTATTCTCTCAACTAAGCTGATTTCAGTAGCAGTGATTCTGCAAGGACACAGTCCTTAGGGAGGCTCCCAGATTTTATCAGTCTCCCACTGTCTGCCCCATACGATCAATTAGACACGAAACACTAAGTATAGAAACAGGAGGTCCTCAACCCCTCATCCCCTGGATTTCCACTGCTTTTGAGATATCAAGGATATGAAATATAAAGTTTAGAAACCAAACCAAGAAAATTAGTCCTGGTTCTCTGTAGAATGGCTGAGACACCAGAAGATGATGCTGCAGACTCAGGGAACTTGATAGGCTGAAGAAACAGGGCGACAGAACCTCCTGAAGTTCAACCAAGGGCCAAGCAGAATCCTCTCCCTGGGGAGGTGCAGCCCCTGGCACCAGGACATGCCATGGAAAGCAGCTCTGCAAAGCAGATCCTGGCACATGTGACTGGCACAGCCCCACCCCAGCACTGAGGTGTGCAGCCCACTGCCAGATGGGCTTGGTGCCACAGCATGGGTGTCTGTGGATGGGGGAGTTCCTGGGTGTGCCCCTCAGAGCCCTGTGATGTCACCGCTCGGCATCATTGTGACCACCCTTGTAACCATAAACAGCAGCCCTGGGTAGTGCCGCAGCGCTCAGACTGGCACACTAGCAGCCGAGGAGCTTCCGAGTGCTGCAGCGTCTGCGGAACCTCCGATCCGAATGACACCAGTGACTGAGGAACCTGGGAGTGCTGCCAGTGACCGAGGAACCTCCGAGTCCCACGAGAGGTCAAGAAACCTCTGAGTGCCACAAGTGGAAGCCAAGCCTTCGAGTCCCGCCAGCAGCTGAGTCAAGTCCGGGAGCAGCAATGGCAGAGGTCAGGCAAGAGCCATCAGCGCCACGGCCCGTCAGGTTCTGCCGCATCTGCGTGGATTTCCTCCAAAGGCCCGCTGCCGTGCAGCCCTGCGGGCACGTGTTCTGCCACGCCTGCATCCAGCCCCAGGCTGCCCCCGACGCCAATGCCACCTGCCCGGTCTGCCAAGGGCCCATCGAGTCCATCCGCCTGCTGCAGGGGCAGGAGAACCGTGCCGGGGTGGCCCCGCGTCGGCGCCGCCGCCTCCATCCCTTTGTGGTGCGGTGGAGGCAGCGGCAGCAGCAGGAGGCGCAGGAGGATGCAGCTCCTGGAGGTGGCCGGCGCCGAAGACTCGCCGATGGGGACAGGCCACCGAGCCCCCCTGGGCCCCAGCAGCGCGTCCAGAGAGTGCTGGAGGAGCTGGACAGAAATGGGCCGGGGCAGGAAGGTTCACTGTGGCCACCGAGGGAGCGGGAGAGAAGAGTTAGCCTCAGGGGACCCCGTCCACCTTCTCCCCTTGATCCCATTTAATGTGAATCGCCTCAGGGGACCCCGTCCACCTTCTCCCCTTGATCCCATTTAATGTGAATCCTCCACAGCCCCTCTGAAATGAAAAGCAGGATGCTGAGAAAGGCCTTGCCTGGTTTCTTCTGCCCTTTTGCTGCAGGACTGGGGGAGTGGCAGCTGTGGGAAAGGGAAGGATATGGCTGTAGGAACTTGGGGAGAGGATGGGATAAGGCTGAAGAACCTTGAGTTCAGTGGAGAGGGAATAATGTGGTTGTTGGAGCTAGAGGAGAAAGGCCATCCTTGGTTGTTTCTGTGTTGCTTGTGGGTATGCAGCTGGGAAATGGAAAAGGAGAAGAGGGAAAGGGAAAAAGGGAAAGGGGAAAAGGGAAAAGGGAAAGGGAAAGGGAAAGGGAAAGGGAAAGGGAAAGGGAAAGGGAAAGGGGAGTCCCCTGAGACTCTGAGCAGATCCCGAAGGGGCCAGTGCCTGCTTTCCTGAGGAGCAGGGCTCCTCTACTCTCATGTTCCTTGCACACCCTTGCACTGTGGAGAGCTGCAATCCTAGGAGAAGCTCTCCAGGCTGGGGGACACAGCCCTGGCACAACACTCTGCCAAAGATTTCAGCAATTTCAGCAAATTCCCCCATCCTACAGCAAACTGGCACTCGTGCTGTGCCTCTATTGCTGGGCAGCAGAAGCTCATCCTCCCCATGAGGGCTGGGCATCAGCCTGCCCTGGAGCCAGAAGCTTGAGAGGCTGACTCTGTAATGGATCCTCACCAGCTAATCGGTGTTTATAGGCTTAGATCTGTTGCTTCTTAATTTTATTCCAGCCCCTCGATTGAATTTCTCACATGTAAGTGAGCCCCGCGAGTCCATCCTAGCCATATATAATGGATGGTGGTGGAGGGAAAGAACACAAATGTGGCTGAATGCCAGTAACCGAAGCAGTGCAGCAGAACCCTCTGCTGAACATTCCCCACTGACAGAGCCTGCCCTCAGTGCCTCTGTGCAAGACACTTCCTATGTTCCCAGCACCTGGCCTGGGGCCATGAGCAGCCTTGGCCATTCTCCATTGGTCCCAAGAGCAGGACAAGGCTTGGAGCCAAGTCACCAAGCCACTATCTCCAGGAATGGCACCAGTTCCACCTACTGAGCCCTGGTGCTGCCACTTGATGCTCCATCAATTATTAATACAATGCTCAATACATCTGTGCCCTGGCCCAGCACCGCAGCCCTGGCCCCTGTGTTCTCCAGGGCTGCTAACCACTCCAACCTCCCCTCCTGCCCTGTATTGCTCCTTGCTTCCCATACAGGGGCTTTGGGGGTGCAGCCACACCACCTTTGCATTCCCTGAGCAGGGCACGACGGGACCCGGCCCCCTAACTTCAGCAGCAGGTAAGACCCCACTGGGGCTGGGGCAGCAGGCACCCCCATCCCCGAGGAATGCCAGTCTTTCACCCCAGGGGGAGGGAGGACGGGCTGGGGGCTTGGGATGCCCGGAGAAGGGCTGGTGGCCATGGGGCTCAGTCCTTGGCTGCAGAGGGATAGCGGGCAGTAGGGATTCCTCAGCTCTGTCCCTTCCTCTGAAGGAATCAGATCCGCCGTGGCTGTCCCCCGAGGAGGGTTCTCCCCAAGGTCCAGGGCGGGTCACCCCTCCGCTGGGGGGGCGGTCCTGGAGGTGTTTGGGCCTACCTCCCCTTGCTGCCCTCCCCAGGAGGAGGCCCCCGCCTCTGCCCCCAGCAGCCGCCCGGCCCAGCAGGGGATGGAGCCCGGCAGGTCGGTGCCGGCGGAGCTGAAGCTCCGCAAGCC